GGGGCCCCCCGGCCCTCGGTGCCGGGCGGCCCCCCCCCTCCACTACTGGATCCTCGCGGCCACTGACGTTTGCTTTCCTGTCCTTCTGTCTCTCCTCTGAGAGCCAGGGCTTTGTCTCCTGCCACAGGGCCAGGCTCGGTGTAGACGCTTGGCAGCTCCAGTCTAACTGGGTAAAGGGATGGATGGATTCCTCTCCCCTCTGCTAGAAGCCAGCTCTTCCTGCCTCAGGCCTCAGCTGGAAGGGGCCCTCTCCTCCAGAAAACCTTCCTGGGCACCCCTAGCCCTGTTCCTCCTGCTCACACTCCTGGTCCCTGGGGTCAGAGGAAGTGGTTGACCTGGCCAAGTCTCCGGAGTCTCGTACCCCCCTTGCCTCTGTCCCCAAACTCACCCACATAATGGTCGATCTCCAACTGCTGGAAGATTAGGGGCTCCGTCTGGGGGTCCAAGGAGGGTGGGGTGGGCCGAACCCAGCGGGAATCTATGGCTGAGCGGAACTGCCCTGGGGGGGTTGGGGTACATGGTCACGGTCCTCCCTCAGGAGTCGCCTGTCCTCCCCAGCCCACGCTTCCCAGGTGACGCCCACTTTACGAGAGGAAAGCAGGTGTGGGAGCTGGTCTGGGTCAGGCAGGAAGCTGCGGATAACAGACGCCACATACTGCCATGGGGTCAAAGGGTAGCCTTTTATAGGACTCAAGTGGGCCAGAGTGGGGTTACAGGTCAGCTTCGGGAGTGACTCAGTCGGGTGGGTGGAGCGCTGCAGGGGCACCCACCCCGGCCTCACCGTCCACAGCCCCCTCCAGGGCCGCCTGCAGCTCCTCCTCCTCCTGTTCCTGCAGCCTGTGCTCGGCCTCCATCTCCTCCATCAGCGCCAGCTCCTCTTCGAACTGGGATGGCCGAGGTGTCTCGTCCTCATCCCAGAGGCCCCCACCTCGGGCCCGCTTCGGGGGCACCCCAGGCCCTGGACCCGGCCTCCGCTTGCCGTCCATCCTGCTGAGCAAGGTGGGGTTTGCTGGAGTCTGACAGGCGCCTCTTCCCTGCTCCCCCACAGCCTCCTGGGCGCCACCGTGCCTGAGTGCAGCACAGCTCTGCCCTGTAGGCTACCGGGGCTGGCCCCGCAGGGGCTCCCGTTTACTCCCACATGCACGAGCCCCCACATCTCCCTGTTCACGTGTCCTCACCGACCTCCACCTGCCCCACCCCATCTCCCCATCAGACTCGGCCCTGAGCACATTCCTCCACTGCCAATAAGCCCCAGGCCCTGGGCCTAGTCCCCCTCCGCAGTGCCCGGGCTCCATTCAGTCACAGCTGGGGAGCACCAGCTTCAGGCGCCAGGCAGGGACCTGAAACACGGATCTGACCAGGTCTCTTCCCTGCTTAAACACCTCAGAGACTTCTCATTATGTTAAAAAAACAACAACAACAACAACAAAAAACACCTGGTGGCACGAGGTGGTTAAGGCCCTGCATTCTCACATGGTCGACCATGGTTGAACCCTGGACACGGCAGCCTGAAATCATGCCAAGTGCATGTACATGCTCCAAATCCCAAGAGACTGGAGGAGAAGAGATTAGGCGTGGCCATCCCCCCTCGGGGCTGACTTCTCACCCTCCATCCCATCTCTCTGGGATATGCACATGCTCTATGGCAAAAACGAACAAACCAAAAAACCTACATATTATATTTTTAAACAATTGCAAGTTGTGAGGCCAGCTGTGGGCGTGGTGGTTACGTCACTGGCCTCCCACCTGGCCGACCATGGGCTGAGTCTTGAACCTGGTGGCTTCAGACTCATGCTGGGTGCACCCGGGTCCTAAGGCAAAAACCTCTAAAATAATGTCAAGCTCAGAGAACTGAGAATACGGGTCCCCGAGAGTCTCTGACTGTCGGAGGAAGGCTGGCACCCTGCTTCCCTCATGCACACAAAGCATGGCGTCCATATTTCTTCTCCCCAAACACTGAGACCCACTGCAGACCCCACCCCTTACCCCGCATACTTCAGCAGGTAGCTCTCGAGAACCCCGTTTTCTCAGACACACACAGCCAAAGATCAGATTCGGACATTTAACCTCATCTCCAGGAGGATCTCAGGGGCGCTCCCCCAGGGTAACCCAGATGCCCATTATATTGCTAGTAACCCACTGCATTCCCACCCAGGATCCACTGAAGCAAACAAAACCAAACACGAAACGCAATGGCCACCTGTCAGAGGGGTCTCGGAAACGTTCCCTGAAAATGTGTATTATGAGGACCATGCATGGCTTCAATATGTTGTGTAGCAAAATAATTTTATCTTTCCACACACTTTTTGAAGTCTCAACATAGCTTGTCAAACATATACGTAAAATAAGTCTTTTTTAAAAATTAATTTAACTCCATTGTTATTATTTTTTAATTTGACCAAAGAGAGACAGAAAGGGAAAGGAAGAGAGCAAGTCGCCAGGTCCAGGACTCAAACTACAATCGGCCATGTGGGAATCCAGCGACCTCAACCGCCATGCCACCTGCTGGCCCATAAAATAAGTCTTTATAGGTTGTAATTAAGGAAACATACAGGCCGGCTCTATGGGATGGTGGTTAAGGCAGTCAGATCCCACAAGGCCAACTAGGGTCCATACTCCAGCCCTGGCAGCCGGTAAAGCAAGCGAGGTATGTGTAGCGCCCAAATCCCAACAGGACGGAGAGCTGGAGGGAATGAACTGCAGCACGACCAGGGCCCATCGTGGGGTACTTTCTCCCTCTCCTCTGGCAAGCACCATGTCCTCTGGCAATTAAAAAATAAATTGGAAAAAAAAAAAAAACTTTAAGAAAAGAAGTCAGTGCCATCTGTGCTGGGGCAGCAGTACTGCAGGGCTCTGATGCTGGTCACATGGGAAGGTCGTGGGTTCACGTCCTGAGGTCTCTGTACACACAATGGGCACGAGTGCCTATGATCCTGACCAGCTGAGGATGGGGTGAATCACGGCAGGAGGACCCTATTGGGGATGCTCTTGTTCTTTCTCTCATGTAAGAAACAGGTTTTTTTTTTAACTATGAAATTTTCATTTAACTTTGGGACCAGCAGATGGCCTAATGGTTACATCACTGGACTCCCACATAGTCGACTGCAGTTTGAGTCACAGACCCAGGGGCTTAAAACTCACACCAGGAGCAGGTGAGTTAGTGTCCAAGATCTTGAGAGAAAAATGGAGAAGGGACCATGGCATGGTCACCCACTTGGGGACGATTCTCACTTCCTGTCTCTCTCAGTCTGGCGAGCACATGCGCCCTATAGCAAAATCCCTCTAAAACTGAAAAGATAATAATTCTTTAAAAATAATTATTTTATTTAGCTTTATTTATTTATGTGTTTTAATTAGACTAGAGAGGGTGAGAGAAAGTGAGAAAGCAAGCCGCCAAGTCTGGGACTTGAAACACAGTCGGCCATGTGGGTGTGGTGTCAAGCCCCTTTAACCACCACACCACCTGCTGGCCCCCATGCCCCAAATTTTTAAATTTAACTTATTTTTTTTATTTAATTTTATTTATTTATTTTAATCTGACCAGAGAGGGACAGAGACAGAATGGGGGGGGGTGGGCAGTGAGAAAGCAAGGCACCAGGTCCAGGACTCAAACCACAGTCAGTCGTGTGGGAGTCCAGCACCCTTAACCACCATGTCATCTGCTGGTCCCTAACTTATTACTATTCTTTCTTCTTATTTTTCTTTTTTAGAGAATTATCTTACTTAACTTCATTTATTTATTCCCATTTGACCAGAAAGAGTGAGAGAAAGAAGGAATGTGAGAAAGCCACCAGGTCTGGGACCCGATCCACGATCGGCCATGTGGGAGTCCACACCCTTAACCACGCTACCTGCCGGCCCCTTATTACTATTTTCTAATGTGACCAGAGGAAGAAAGTGAGAAAGCAAACTGCTGGGTCCAGGACTCAAACCGTGTCCAGCCATGTGGGAGACCAGTGACTTAACTACCATGCTACCTGTGGCCCCAAAACAAATTTTTTAAAAGTTTCATATGTTGGCATGCGGCGCAAATGAAGCCAGACACACAAAAAGCCCATGTTGAAAGAATGTGAGTGACTGGGATGGGAACGCAGCAGGAATGGGGCTAGAGGACACAACTGTACACACTAGTGCCGACAGGGCCGGGCCGCGGGGCAGTGATAACGCACAGCGGGTGAGGCCAACCCGCGTGGGAAGGCTCTGGGTGGGCGTCTGAGCCCTCCCTGAGAACGGCGGTGCGAGCGGCTTCGGGAGCCGGCCAAGGCCGGGAGGGATCACAACGTAGAAGCCCTGTTGGGGTGCTTTCTCGCTCTCCTGCTCACAAAAGAAAGAAACTTGAAAATGTCACTGAACTGTTCAAAGTGGTTAATTTGACCTCAGTAGAACGGAGTATACACCGCACGCCGCCGCTTACGTAAAGCTACAATCACACGATGCTAGAACTGGGTCAGGACCTACTTCTGGGGTGTGAGGCTGGCTGGGAAGGGCAGAGGGGACCCGGGGGGCTGGCAGAAAGGGACTGTACATCCAACTGCGTGCCAAGCCCCAGCCAATCGCACTCCGTTTCAAACCTGCAGCTCCGTGGCTAGGACTCAGCTGCCGAGGCTCTCAGGGGGAAGACTCACTTACAAGGTAATTTCCGGCACCCCTGTATGAAGTCACGAGGCTGGAAACCACCTAAATGTTCTCCCCAGGGGACTGTTTAACTCGGTGGCCAAGTGGCTCACTGGAGTACTACACAGCTATACAAAGGAATGAGGAAGCTCTCCGTGCCCACCTGGAAGGCCCTCAAAGAGGCATTGTTTTGTAGATCAAGCAAGGTGTGCACTGGTGTACTTATGGTTTATCTTTGTATTAAAAGGGGGAGGGGGGCAACAGGTGGTATGGTGGTTGAGATGCTGGACTCCCACATGGGTGACTGAGGTTCAAGTCCTGGTCTTGGCAGCTTGCTTCCTCACTTTCTCTCATGCTTTGTCCCTCTCTGGTCAAATAAAATAAATAAATAAATAAAGTTCAATAAAAACAATTATTTTAAAAAAAAAGGGAGGGGGGAGGATGGGTGAGCAGGTGGCATGGTGGTTAAGGTGCTGTACTCCCACATGACTGATTGTGGTTCAAGGCCCAGATCTAGAGGCTTGAAAATCATGCTAGGCACATGTGCTTGCACACCCCAAATCCTGAGAAGGGTATGAAGGGACTGTGGCATGGCCATCCCCCCAGGGAATGATTTCTCACATTTCCCCTCACTGTCCCTTCTCTGCTGAGCACACACAATGTATGGGGGGGGGGGAAGAAAAAAGAAAATAAGCAAATCACACTGAGCACATGTGCCTGCCCAAAATTCTAAGAGGTGAATGGAGAAGAGCTTGCTAGTGGCTTCCCCCCCCTCCAGGGATAATGTCACATTTTCCCTCTCTCTGGGGGGAAGGGCACGTGCTCTCTAGAGAAAACTTAACCAAAAAAAAAGGGGCATGGGCAGAAAAAAAAATCCACCCTAACTCTAGTCATTAGGGAACAATGAAACCCCAAAAGCAGGGTGGCAACTACTGGCCTGGAATCTTTAAAATGGTCAGTGTCAAGACAGAAAAAGGAAAAGCTGCCAGGAGAACAGCGTGCAATCTGTGGGCCCAGACTGGGTCCTGGACAAAAGAAACAAAACTGGGGGGCCAGTCGGTGGTGTGGAGGTAAAGGTAGCGAGTCCCACATGGCTGACCGCAGCTCAAGTCCCAGACCTGGAGGCTTGAAAATCATGCTGGGCGTGTGTGTGTGTGTGTGTGTGTGTGCGTCTCCCCAAAATCCTGAGAGGAGAATGGAGAAGGGATGGCGGTGTGAACAACCTCCCTGGGGTGGGGGGGATTTCTCACTTTCTTTCTCCCTCCCGCAAACACACAGGTCCTACAGAAAAATAGTACAGATTTATTTCAGTGCAAAAAACTTGAAGTCTACGTAGGTTCTTCACAGTGCCCATTTCCCGAGAACTCTGGGAGGACTTGCGTTTCGGGCATTGCTGTGTGT